TCGCATGATGTCGCCTGCGACTCTGGCACTCGAGCCGCCTCTTTTTGCGCCACCGTGCTGGCTGGCTCCTGGGATGCAGTGGCTGTGAAACATGTCTCAGGCTGGACCCTCAGACCTGTGCCAAGATGTCAGGGAAGTGGACGAGGACGCGGTTGCGCTCGGAGCCGAGCCAGTCATGCGCGCGCAGGAAGTCCAGGTTCCGTGTGCTGTTGTTGATGGTGACTGCCACAGGCACCGCAAAGAGGTACTTCCGGTACGCGCACGTGCCGCCAGGAGTCGTGGCAAATTCGACACGCGTGTCGTACTTGCCCTGAAGTTTGTCCTGGTGCTCCGCAATGAACTTCAGGTCCCTCACATCGTCCAGGATGATGCCATCATGGGTGTCCCTGTCAAAGGCGCGCATCCCCTCTGGGAAGATGTCGAGACTCCCCACTTTGAGCTCCAGCGCGCGCTTGAACAAGGACTTCACCCACTCTGTTTTCCCTGTCTGGGAGGGCCCGTGGACGATGAGCAGTGGATAGCGTAGTCGATCTTCACGAAAGGTCGCCAACCATGCTTCTGCCGCGGGCACTGCCGGGAAAGCCCGGTACACCTCTGGGTTCGCTCGAAGCCTCTTCGTGGTGGCCTCGATGAGGGCGGCGTCAGCCAGGGCGGCCTCATGCTCGCGAACTGCATCCAGGTTGCGCTTCCGTGCCAGAACCCCGTCCCGCGTCAGGAAAAGGTACTGCTCGTACTTGGCCGATGTCAGCTTCCGCTGTTTCCACAGTGCTTCTGGCCATTTTCCGAGGACCTGGTAGGTTCGCCGAGCCTCAGTCCAGCATGGCTCGTAGTTGGCCGCGACGCAAGTCTCGCCGGAAGGCAAGCGCAGCGTCCCCACCTTGTCAGCCCACACGTAGAACATGCCGCGGTTGATGGACTGCTGCAGCTTCTTGCGGCAGACGCCCTCGCCGAGGTAGTCGTTGGGGCTGGCGTTGGGTCGCACACCCTCAAAGATGAAGCGGGCGGAGCCGCAGTCCACTGCAGAAGTGAATTGGACCATGAGGTGCAGGTGGCAGTCGCCGCCAGAGGTCTGCTCCATCGTCGCCGCCCAGTGCTTGACAGTCCACGCCGTCACCGAGGCGGCCACAAAGACGCAGAACCGCTGCCATGCACCAGGCGCCTCCCCGGCCGGCCAGCTTTGATATGTCAGGAGCACCGCCTCGGAGCGAATGCGCAAGCCTTCGCGCCCGTTAGTGACGGCACTGCTTGCGGACACTGGCCCTGCCTGCGCATGGGCAGGTCGGCCTGGCGGCTTTGTGCCCTGGCTCGCCTGGACCCACGCATCCCTTGCAGCATTCAGGCGCTGCGCGTCTGCGGCTGCGCCGCCCTTGTCGGGATGCACCTTGATGGACACTCGCCGGAAGACCCGCGTCACCTCGACATCTGTCGACTCCCGCGTGAGGGTCACCTGCAGCCCGTAGGCACCGGCCAGAGCCAGCAACAAGGTCACCAGCGCACGCTTAGCGCGTTGCTTCAGGTTGGCAGGCATGGCGCAAGTGGCTAGAGGAGGCCGTCGGCTTCGAAAAATGCTTCCGGAAGGCACCCCCGGGCCGAAAGTTTCGACCCACGGCACATGTTGGATGGCACGCAAACAGTGAAGGCTCCCGCGGAGTAGCGGAGTGCCGAAAAGTCGCATTTTCCCTGCGCCTGCTAGCGGAGAAATTAATACCCCGTTTTAAAAATATAGTACAAAAGAAGCTCCGGAGGAGGCCCCCAGCCCCATTGTGTCAGGAGTCTATGGGGAAGAGGGCGGGGTAAGGGCGTCAGAACCCCAAGATGTCGGTGGGTCGAACTATCGGCCCGGCGCAGCATGCGTTTTGGCGGCGAGAGTCCGTGGCATGCACAGTGCGGGTGAAACGCCTGCTAGGATCTGGCCATGCCGCCCTTCTTCGACACGACCTCCTTGCAGGTCTTTTTGAAGCCCGCGGCTATGTGCGAGGCCACCCTTTGGGCACGCTGTGAGGCCAAAACCGCGCGGACTCGCGCCTTGAAGGCCAGCATGCCGATGGGCGGGCGCTTGCGGCGGAGGTCTTCCCGATCCAGGTGGCGGAGGCGCCTTCGCAGCCACGCCCAGAACTTCTCCACAGGGTTCAGGTCCGGCGATGATGCCGGGACCGGCCAGAGCGTGATGTTTTTGGCCGCCATGGCATGCCTGCTGGCGGCCGTGTGCAGGAAGGCCTCATTGTCGCACAAGACCTTCCAGGGGCCGTGTCGCTGCACTGGCTGCAGCGCTGTTATGGCGGCCTGGAGCTTCCCGGTCTGGACCACGCGGCACCACTCCTCTGCAGTGAACTTGCGTGCTTTGTGGAAGGCGACTGTGCGGAAGCCCCCTTCTGACAGCCCACCCCAGAGTGGCACGGCTCGAGCACGTGGCACCTGTGACGGGTACGGGTTCTGTCCAGCCAGCCGCTCCATTCCAGCCTCCCCGCGCTGCCGCCACATGTAGCCATCCCCGTGGGCGCAATAATTGCGGCGGTCCGTGGGATCCCGTGGCGGTAGCGACAGCAGGACCCCATCCATGGAGAAGGAAAGCTTCTCTCGCAGGCGGGCCCGACTGCGCTAGGGCTCGCGCGACCACTAAGATAACTTAGCAACTTAGCAACATGGGTTTAACATGGGTTTAACATGGGTGTAACTTCTAAGTTTTTGTGTGGTTAGTTAAGCGTCTTAGCCTTAAGCTAGGCAACCCTAAGTATAGTTAGCTTTTGGCTAAGTTCAACATGCTGTGTTCATGCAACAACTTCAAAAAACTTAACTTTTACTTAACTTGAACTTAACTTTTTGATCGATTTCGGGAGCTCAAATTTCGTGCAAAGGCATGTCTGCCCCATGTCATTTTTTAATCCATGCTTTTGTATGATTTTATAGATTTTGTCCGTTTTCATACGTCTCGGACTGCTTTGGAAGCTGGCGGATGTCTTAAATTAGTTTGTGCAAGCACGATGCGTGTTTTCTCGGGTTTTCCGATCTTGCCTCATTATGTCGTAGGGTTCAATGTTAACACGGTCACGAACATACATCTGGTCTTTGCTACAGACTTTATTCTTGAGACTCTGGGCTGTAAGGCTCACGTGACAGAAGTCGTATACATTACACACTGAGCGCTTTGCGCTGCCATCTGATTGTGAAGTGCAAATTCCGTTACGTAGAGTTCTATGTGCGACAAACACGTACTTGTATACGCGTCGCAAATGTTATCCGCACGTGACGGTTTGTTTTCGTCTCTTAAAAGCCATGGCAGCTTGCCGGCGGATTTTCGTAGCTGCTGGTGAAGTCTATATAGGTGCACATAGAACACCTGGCCCAGTTCCTGCGTGGCGCGGTACCCGAGACTCTATTCCCCAGCCCTAAACCCTTAAACCTGAAACCCCTAGAAACCATTATGCGCAACCCTAAACCCTGCACCCTCCCCTAAAGTCATGCCGAGCGCATCGCGCTGCTGCAAACCCTAAAGCCTAAACCCTAAACCCTAAGCCGTAAACCCTAAACCCTAAACCCTCAACCCTGAACGTGCGGCATCACAGTTCACGCACGAGCGCTTGCGCTGCACCACGCCGTGAGCAAGTGGGAACAGAGAGACCGCGGGGACGCGCGTTGAGAGTCCTATAAAGACCTGCAGGGTTTCGGGTTTAGGGTTTAGGGTTTACGGCTCAGGGTTTAGCTTCATAGGGTTTAGCATGCCACGGGATACCGCGGGATACCGCGCGATACCGCGCGATACCGCGAGAGACCGGGGGAGCTGAGACGATACAAGCGCGGTATCTCGCGGTATCCCGCCTTGTCCTTGTAGGTTTTCGGACAGAAACCATGCACGATACCGCACGATACCGGTTTTGGTGGCTTTTGGATATAGGTTTCTAGACAAAACAAGGCGCGATACCGCGGGATACCGCGTGGAATCCCCCTGCCTCCCCATGCACAAAACCATGCCACGATACCGCGCGATACCGCGGGATACGCCCCAAAATGTGGCCCATCCTGAGTGGTTCCTGCTTTCCTTTTTCTCCACTGGCTCGTTTTCACAGCCTCCCTAGCTCCTGAGTTCGGAAGAGTTTCCGAAGCCCTCTCGACTGGCCACCGAAGCCATGGCTGCTGTGGACACCGTGTTTTGCGCTCGCTGCAAGGGAAGCAGTTTCGCCAACATGACGAGATTATAGACACCATGAACAGTGAGCGAAGACATCAGATCTTCATAACACTCTGCAACAACAAGATCAAAGATGTCAGGCACTTGGAGTGGGCTGTACTTGCTGGCTCCTTCTTTAACGAAAAGGAAGTCTTGGAGGCTGCGACATGGAATCTGTGCGTCACGACAGTGGACACTGGTCGAAAGGCTGCTGTGTGTTCCTGGCGTCGATACATCGTGGGCAATCCTATCGTTGTGTCAAACCGAGACATGTGGGGTTATTGAAGACGCGCAGCAAACAGAAGCAGGAACCCTCTTGGTGCTCGCGATGTACAACCTGGCTGCAGTGATCGATACAGGAATCATGCAGTGGACGTGCAGTGATGTACAAAGAAGCCTCGAGATTGCGGAGGACCAGAGAAACGTCCTCCTGCCTGCGTGCTGGAAGTTCGCCGGGCCGTCGCTACTGACGTCGTGGTGAAGAAACGGAGTACCGAGCGCAGTGCGCTTCTGCATGACTGATAAAGGTGGTCAGAGTCTCACTGCTCCGGGAAGGAACACACTACATTTGCCCCCAAAACGTATAAAACCCAGTATGTTTTTCAGCCTCCGGCTTGAACGCGTGCATTTTCTGGCAAAAACAACATAAAGTGCATCAAATTAGAAGGTCTTATGTGGACATGGTTCATGTGCCAAAACAACAAAACAAAACACAAAAAAGAACTTAACTTGAACTTAACTTTTACTTAACTTTTACTTAACTCTGGTTTTTACATGCCTCAAAAGCTAAGTAGCTAAGTTCGCTAAGTTCCCGGATAAGTTATGTTAGCGCACTTCAAAAAGTGAACACCGACAACATGCCAGCGAGCCCTAGCGTGAGCTGCACCACGCTCCGTGCAAAGCGGAGGCGCTCCTGCCGGCGTTCTGCACTGTACTTGCGCTTCTGCGCTTTCGGAAGCCAGAAGTATCCCTGGCGACGCAGTGCCTTGCGGATGGCCGACTCATCCAGCTGCACACCCCGCTTCGCGAGCAGTTCTCGCTGCAAGGTGCCAGAGGTGCAGACACAGTGCATGCGCAGGGCGAGCAAGCGCTGCACCAGGAACTTCTGCACGGCCTTGGTAGCTTTGACGGGTCGGCGACCGCAGTTCTGGTACTTGTACGGTCGCCGCCCCTTTGCCTGGCTGAAGCCCTTGTAGACTCGCCTCAGGAGCGACAGACTGGGCCGCTCCCCGCGCAAGTTCCGCACCCGGGAACGGATGTCCTCCCACGCGCAGCCATGCACCTCCCGCAGCACCACAACCTGGCGCTCAGTCGCGAAGTTGAGCGACCGTGGGTGCCTGACCTCCTGCACAAGGGGCATGGTGCCGAGACAGCTGCGAGGGCACGCATGTGGGCTGGTCCTGTCAGTACCTTCCGACGCTAGCAATGCATGGTCCTGCATGGTCAAGGCGTGAGGAACCACAGGACGCACCGCCATGCCCACCCAACTGCCTCGCGCACATGTCCCAAGATGCACAGCGCGAGAGGACCCGAGATGCACACGGCGACCTGAGCGGCTCACGCGTGAGGACCCAAAATGCACACGGCCCACCCAGGCTGCGCGCACGTTTGACCCAAAACGCACACAGCTTCGGACCCAAAACGCACACAGGACCCAAACGCACACGGCCCGGGCTGGCGCGACAAGGACCCAACCTGCACACGGTGACCGGAGCGGCTGACGCGTTCGGACCCAAAACGCACACGGCCCAGGCTGCGGCGCACGATTGGACCCAAAACGCACACGGCCTCGGACCGAAAATGCACACGGCCAGGGATGGCGCGATAGGACCCACAATGCACACGGCCATGGAGACGCTAGCACCCATGCCGCGAGCGCAGACGCAGGAGCATGCGCCTACGCGTGTCGCATGATGTCGCCTGCGACTCTGGCACTCGAGCCGCCTCTTTTTGCGCCACCGTGCTGGCTGGCTCCTGGGATGCAGTGGCTGTGAAACATGTCTCAGGCTGGACCCTCAGACCTGTGCCAAGATGTCAGGGAAGTGGACGAGGACGCGGTTGCGCTCGGAGCCGAGCCAGTCATGCGCGCGCAGGAAGTCCAGGTTCCGTGTGCTGTTGTTGATGGTGACTGCCACAGGCACCGCAAAGAGGTACTTCCGGTACGCGCACGTGCCGCCAGGAGTCGTGGCAAATTCGACACGCGTGTCGTACTTGCCCTGAAGTTTGTCCTGGTGCTCCGCAATGAACTTCAGGTCCCTCACATCGTCCAGGATGATGCCATCATGGGTGTCCCTGTCAAAGGCGCGCATCCCCTCTGGGAAGATGTCGAGACTCCCCACTTTGAGCTCCAGCGCGCGCTTGAACAAGGACTTCACCCACTCTGTTTTCCCTGTCTGGGAGGGCCCGTGGACGATGAGCAGTGGATAGCGTAGTCGATCTTCACGAAAGGTCGCCAACCATGCTTCTGCCGCGGGCACTGCCGGGAAAGCCCGGTACACCTCTGGGTTCGCTCGAAGCCTCTTCGTGGTGGCCTCGATGAGGGCGGCGTCAGCCAGGGCGGCCTCATGCTCGCGAACTGCATCCAGGTTGCGCTTCCGTGCCAGAACCCCGTCCCGCGTCAGGAAAAGGTACTGCTCGTACTTGGCCGATGTCAGCTTCCGCTGTTTCCACAGTGCTTCTGGCCATTTTCCGAGGACCTGGTAGGTTCGCCGAGCCTCAGTCCAGCATGGCTCGTAGTTGGCCGCGACGCAAGTCTCGCCGGAAGGCAAGCGCAGCGTCCCCACCTTGTCAGCCCACACGTAGAACATGCCGCGGTTGATGGACTGCTGCAGCTTCTTGCGGCAGACGCCCTCGCCGAGGTAGTCGTTGGGGCTGGCGTTGGGTCGCACACCCTCAAAGATGAAGCGGGCGGAGCCGCAGTCCACTGCAGAAGTGAATTGGACCATGAGGTGCAGGTGGCAGTCGCCGCCAGAGGTCTGCTCCATCGTCGCCGCCCAGTGCTTGACAGTCCACGCCGTCACCGAGGCGGCCACAAAGACGCAGAACCGCTGCCATGCACCAGGCGCCTCCCCGGCCGGCCAGCTTTGATATGTCAGGAGCACCGCCTCGGAGCGAATGCGCAAGCCTTCGCGCCCGTTAGTGACGGCACTGCTTGCGGACACTGGCCCTGCCTGCGCATGGGCAGGTCGGCCTGGCGGCTTTGTGCCCTGGCTCGCCTGGACCCACGCATCCCTTGCAGCATTCAGGCGCTGCGCGTCTGCGGCTGCGCCGCCCTTGTCGGGATGCACCTTGATGGACACTCGCCGGAAGACCCGCGTCACCTCGACATCTGTCGACTCCCGCGTGAGGGTCACCTGCAGCCCGTAGGCACCGGCCAGAGCCAGCAACAAGGTCACCAGCGCACGCTTAGCGCGTTGCTTCAGGTTGGCAGGCATGGCGCAAGTGGCTAGAGGAGGCCGTCGGCTTCGAAAAATGCTTCCGGAAGGCACCCCCGGGCCGAAAGTTTCGACCCACGGCACATGTTGGATGGCACGCAAACAGTGAAGGCTCCCGCGGAGTAGCGGAGTGCCGAAAAGTCGCATTTTCCCTGCGCCTGCTAGCGGAGAAATTAATACCCCGTTTTAAAAATATAGTACAAAAGAAGCTCCGGAGGAGGCCCCCAGCCCCATTGTGTCAGGAGTCTATGGGGAAGAGGGCGGGGTAAGGGCGTCAGAACCCCAAGATGTCGGTGGGTCGAACTATCGGCCCGGCGCAGCATGCGTTTTGGCGGCGAGAGTCCGTGGCATGCACAGTGCGGGTGAAACGCCTGCTAGGATCTGGCCATGCCGCCCTTCTTCGACACGACCTCCTTGCAGGTCTTTTTGAAGCCCGCGGCTATGTGCGAGGCCACCCTTTGGGCACGCTGTGAGGCCAAAACCGCGCGGACTCGCGCCTTGAAGGCCAGCATGCCGATGGGCGGGCGCTTGCGGCGGAGGTCTTCCCGATCCAGGTGGCGGAGGCGCCTTCGCAGCCACGCCCAGAACTTCTCCACAGGGTTCAGGTCCGGCGATGATGCCGGGACCGGCCAGAGCGTGATGTTTTTGGCCGCCATGGCATGCCTGCTGGCGGCCGTGTGCAGGAAGGCCTCATTGTCGCACAAGACCTTCCAGGGGCCGTGTCGCTGCACTGGCTGCAGCGCTGTTATGGCGGCCTGGAGCTTCCCGGTCTGGACCACGTGGCACCACTCCTCTGCAGTGAACTTGCGTGCTTTGTGGAAGGCGACTGTGCGGAAGCCCCCTTCTGACAGCCCACCCCAGAGTGGCACGGCTCGAGCACGTGGCACCTGTGACGGGTACGGGTTCTGTCCAGCCAGCCGCTCCATTCCAGCCTCCCCGCGCTGCCGCCACATGTAGCCATCCCCGTGGGCGCAATAATTGCGGCGGTCCGTGGGATCCCGTGGCGGTAGCGACAGCAGGACCCCATCCATGGAGAAGGAAAGCTTCTCTCGCAGGCGGGCCCGACTGAGCTGCACCACGCTCCGTGCAAAGCGGAGGCGCTCCTGCCGGCGTTCTGCACTGTACTTGCGCTTCTGCGCTTTCGGAAGCCAGAAGTATCCCTGGCGACGCAGTGCCTTGCGGATGGCCGACTCATCCAGCTGCACACCCCGCTTCGCGAGCAGTTCTCGCTGCAAGGTGCCAGAGGTGCAGACACAGTGCATGCGCAGGGCGAGCAAGCGCTGCACCAGGAACTTCTGCACGGCCTTGGTAGCTTTGACGGGTCGGCGACCGCAGTTCTGGTACTTGTACGGTCGCCGCCCCTTTGCCTGGCTGAAGCCCTTGTAGACTCGCTTCAGGAGCGACAGACTGGGCCGCTCCCCGCGCAAGTTCCGCACCCGGGAACGGATGTCCTCCCACGCGCAGCCATGCACCTCCCGCAGCACCACAACCTGGCGCTCAGTCGCGAAGTTGAGCGACCGTGGGTGCCTGACCTCCTGCACAAGGGGCATGGTGCCGAGACAGCTGCGAGGGCACGCATGTGGGCTGGTCCTGTCAGTACCTTCCGACGCTAGCAATGCATGGTCCTGCATGGTCAAGGCGTGAGGAACCACAGGACGCACCGCCATGCCCACCCAACTGCCTCGCGCACATGTCCCAAGATGCACAGCGCGAGAGGACCCGAGATGCACACGGCGACCTGAGCGGCTCACGCGTGAGGACCCAAAATGCACACGACCCACCCAGGCTGCGCGCACGTTTGACCCAAAACGCACACAGCTTCGGACCCAAAACGCACACAGGACCCAAACGCACACGGCCCGGGCTGGCGCGACAAGGACCCAACCTGCACACGGTGACCGGAGCGGCTGACGCGTTCGGACCCAAAACGCACACGGCCCAGGCTGCGGCGCACGATTGGACCCAAAACGCACACGGCCTCGGACCGAAAATGCACACGGCCAGGGATGGCGCGATAGGACCCACAATGCACACGGCCATGGAGTCGGCTTCGAAAAATGCTTCCGGAAGGCACCCCCGGGCCGAAAGTTTCGACCCACGGCACATGTTGGATGGCACGCAAACAGTGAAGGCTCCCGCGGAGTAGCGGAGTGCCGAAAAGTCGCATTTTCCCTGCGCCTGCTAGCGGAGAAATTAATACCCCGTTTTAAAAATATAGTACTATAGAAGCTCCGGAGGAGGCCCCCAGCCCCATTGTGTCAGGAGTCTATGGGGAAGAGGGCGGGGTAAGGGCGTCAGAACCCCAAGATGTCGGTGGGTCGAACTATCGGCCCGGCGCAGCATGCGTTTTGGCGGCGAGAGTCCGTGGCATGCACAGTGCGGGTGAAACGCCTGCTAGGATCTGGCCATGCCGCCCTTCTTCGACACGACCTAAGGTCTTTTTGAAGCCCGCGGCTATGTGCGAGGCCACCCTTTGGGCACGCTGTGAGGCCAAAACCGCGCGGACTCGCGCCTTGAAGGCCAGCATGCTGCGCCCAGAACTTCTCCACAGGGTTCAGGTCCGGCGATGATGCCGGGACCGGCCAGAGCGTGATGTTTTTGGCCGCCATGGCATGCCTGCTGGCGGCCGTGTGCAGGAAGGCCTCATTGTCGCACAAGACCTTCCAGGGGCCGTGTCGCTGCACTGGCTGCAGCGCTGTTATGGCGGCCTGGAGCTTCCCGGTCTGGACCACGCGGCACCACTCCTCTGCAGTGAACTTGCGTGCTTTGTGGAAGGCGACTGTGCGGAAGCCCCCTTCTGACAGCCCACCCCGGAGTGGCACGGCTCGAGCACGTGGCACCTGTGACGGGTACGGGTTCTGTCCAGCCAGCCGCTCCATTCCAGCCTCCCCGCGCTGCCGCCACATGTAGCCATCCCCGTGGGCGCAATAATTGCGGCGGTCCGTGGGATCCCGTGGCGGTAGCGACAGCAGGACCCCATCCATGGAGAAGGAAAGCTTCTCTCGCAGGCGGGCCCGACTGAGCTGCACCACGCTCCGTGCAAAGCGGAGGCGCTCCTGCCGGCGTTCTGCACTGTACTTGCGCTTCTGCGCTTTCGGAAGCCAGAAGTATCCCTGGCGACGCAGTGCCTTGCGGATGGCCGACTCATCCAGCTGCACACCCCGCTTCGCGAGCAGTTCTCGCTGCAAGGTGCCAGAGGTGCAGACACAGTGCATGCGCAGGGCGAGCACCCTAAGCATCCGATCTTGATTAAAAATCAAGAATCAAGAATCAAGAATCAAGAATCGAAAAAACGAAGGCAAAAATGCGTGCGTGCAAAACTGAGCAAGTGGTAGATGTTGAACATCAAATACGAAAACTATGGTTTTATGTTTTTTTCGCACGCGGAGCCCCGCCCCTCTCCGCGCGATGGCACATCCCCACCCTGTGCTCTGTGGTTTGTGCCGCCTTGGTTTCGTTAAACTGAGATAACATCCCATCCACGCCAGGAATTCTATTTTTCTTGACTTTGGCCATCAATTTCCATCAGCCAGCAGCAAGCCCAGCACGATGTTATATCGACGAATTATCGCTTTGGACAATCCACTGGGTCGATTTCCGGTGCACGCGGATCTAGCTAATGCGGCTATGGATCCCACAAATGACTCAGAGCCGTAATTCCATGTCTTCCGAGGATTGAGGTAGCGTGCTTGCTGGCATAGATGAATGGCTAAGTGGAACTTGATGGTCATGTGGTAGCGGAATCGATTCTGTGCCAGATGGTGCTTGCAGAGTTTGCTATTCAGTCGCGCAAACGTGGTAAATCCTTCCGCCAGCCGATAGGCGTCGTTTGGCGGCAAGCACCACGCCTCGCATGCTTCTATTATCCTGACTGCTTCGCTCAAGTGCCTCGCGGCCTCGAGTCGCGTTTCCATGTATTCTGTTGGCTGATGCACAGCTTCGAGCATGCCAACGCAAACATGCACTAACTGCCTGGTCTTCCGGGCTTTGACTCGTTTCAGAACTGGATAGTCCGCCGCGGTTGAGGCGAACTGGCTTTCGACCAGGTCGCTGATTCGATTCGGAAGCTCCACATTCATTTCTTCCTGGGTGGCTTCCAGCAGTTGATTCAGAGCTGTGAGACGCTGTTCCTTGTTAGCGCCGGGGAGCTGCCACCAGATGTCTTCCAGGACTGCGCCTAGGAAATACTGGCAGACGCCAGCGTCGAAAATGTGCATGAAGTCGAGAAAAACTGAATGGAAGCTTATGCCCGGCACACGCAGCAGTTGGTGGTCCCATTCCTCGCCTCTGTGTCCTGTGCTCCGCCAGAGTGCATCTCTACGCCAATCCGACCAAGGCATTTGGTCACAGTCTGCGCAGCACCAAGCACAAGGCCGACTGGCGCTTGCGTGACACGGCAACTGCCAAACATTAGCCAACGCTTCCATGTCTCCGGCCAGGACCTCGCACATGCTTCTCTGGCGGCTGGATAGTTCTGGTCTCTACCGTGTCACAATTTCAAAGCTCAAAATAGGGGACAAAATGTTTCTTATGGTGCTGCCATACAACCAGCACGACCGCTTTGGGGGGCAGCTGCTTGCAGCGGCTCCTGTCGTACGTGTCGCCCATGGCACTGATGTCGCCGTAATAGAGACACTCCAAGCTCCGGACGACGGCCTCGTAGACTGGATGCCACGTTGCAGTGGTCGTGCAGGCTTTTGGCAACCCGGCCAGCAGGAATTGTGTCTCGGTAACAGGGCCCTCGCCGAGGAGCGATCTCATGGACAGCTGCAAAAGACTGCCGGTGTCGGTGTATGGGGCGCCGTCTGTGTGGAGTATCAGCGGCAGCATGTTGGCTGCCCGCGCTTCCAGGAGTTCAGGCCGGTCCTGCATTGCACCGCTCTCCTCGAAGTCCTTCCAGAACTGTTCTCGTTTACTTAAGCCGAGCAGCCGCTCGGCTTCGAGGCTGCTGCACACATCTGCCAGAATCTCATGTGGCAGCAGTATGTGCTGGCTTTCTGAGGCGAGTCGCATACGACCGCTCTGCGGTTCTTTGGTGCTGACTTCACACGGCACCTCGAAAGCAGGTCTGGAAGCCAGCAGGGGCACGAGCTTGCGGCAGAGGTCTCGGGAGATGTTGCCTGGGTGACAGCCGTGGCACCCGGCCGCTGCCATGACCGCCAGGTCTCCCCCTTGAGCGCCCGACTCTAAAGCAGCGCGTGCCAGGGCTTGCACGGTGGTTGCACTGAGGCCGCCCCATGCCCACGCACGCAGTAGGACTTGGCCTAGCGGCGATTTATGTGCTTGCTGTCGATCTTCTTGTGCGTGCCAGAGGTGAGCACGCGGTTTGCTTTTGCTGCCGCATGCCCGAGCTGAGAGATCTCGCTTAGGCATTATGGCTTATAGTCTATACGCTGGCGGCCTGCCAACGCGAGCATACATTGACTGCGGCAAAACACGGCATGCGTGCTTTCTGTCTCCCTGCTCAAGGCTCTCTCTCTCTCTCTCTCTCTCTCTCTCTCTCTCTCTCTCTCTCTCTCTCTCTCTCTCTGTCTAGCTCTCTCTCTCTTGTGGCTGTCTCGCTCGCGTTCTGCTGTGCTGGGCTACACTCCGCAGTGTGTAGGCAGACCATGCAGACTATACCCAGACCAGACACGTCTCAAGAATCTGCCTGCTGCATAAAATGGCTGGTGCGACGCTGCTAGCAGATCTGTGGGCCTCAAGCACTCTGAGCTGCACAGGCAGGCTAATCCATTTTCCTCGCAATGGCAGCCTTATACTTTGCCAAACTGTTGAGCTTCGCTCTAATACTCAGGGGAGCGGCACGTGGGCATGCCGAGCGCACGAGCAACTCCCCCTCACACTCACAGCAATGCCGGCCTTGCGACACGTATATGCCTAGCTGTCACTCTGCGCAGACACGGGCATGTTCTCGGCGTGGACTGAAGCCTGTGCAGCCCGGATGCTGGTGAGCGTGCCGTCCATGGAAACTCGGGCAGCCGTGAGTCGCTTCCGGCCCACGGCGCGGACAACGGTGTTCTTCTGGTTATGGTAGCGCTGGCAAACCTGCTGCACCGACTGCACACTGGTGCTGAGCGACGTAGTGTGCTCTGCTGCCTGCTGCTCGCTGAAGTCCTCGAGGAAACGCTTGCTGGTCATGATGACCTGGTCGAACCTGCCCTGTGCCGTCTCCAGGTCCTCCTTCAGCTTCGCGAGCTCAGCCATCTCAGGAATGTCACCAGCAAGTTCAGCGTCTCGCTCCACTTCCCGATGCTTGGCTAGCTCTGCGTGCACTTCCCGATCCACGCGCGCAGCCTCTTTCATAAGGGCGGCGAAGTCTTGCCTGGCCTGGGACACGTTCACCACCGCCGCCGGCTTGCTGGACAAGCTGCCCAGGGAGCTGTCCGCTCGGAGCTCCTTGGCATGCAGGGTGGTGGCCGAGACTTCCTTGAGCGTCTCCTTGCTGAAGTACCACTCCTTGTAGCCTGCCTTGGCGTAGTTCGCGTTCCGATGGTCGCGGACAGGCAGGCCTTCAGTCAGCCAGCTGAGTTTCTGCTCTAGGTTGGGATCCTGCCAGCTGAGATGGTACGCCTGCATGATGCCATCCTTGTCCGCCCAGCCCTCGACGCTGCCCTCCTTGGCCTCGCTCATTTCTTTGACGGACTCGGAGACGGAGGCGTGCCAAGCCTTCATCTTCTTTCCGTTCTGCATGAACTCTGCGATCATGCTCCTCTTCCGGTCCTCACCGGCAGCACGGAACTCCAAAAGTTTCTCGCAGCGGAAGCTCTTCACTTCCTCATCTTCAGCTCTGGGCTCGTAGTAGAGCGCGTTCCACAAGGTCTTCGTCATGTCGCCGCTGCTCTTCGAAGCCTTGGAGCCGCGACCTTTCGGCGCCATGTCAAGGGCAAGCAGAGGCGGAGCGGGGAGTGTGCAAACGCAGAGGCTCGAGCAGGCTAGTCTAGATGCAGAGACTAAGTGTCACAGCTGCAACTGCGCATCAACACGTGCAACGTGAGTCCACCCATATGTGTAAACAACAACCCTTGCTGGTCCTGTGCGCCTGGTCGCCTCCGCCAATGTACCGCCGGTCAGCCTGAGCACCCGAGCATCTCTGCCTCGACACGTGTGTGCTGCTCCGGCCCCCCAACCGCCCGAGTGCGACGGGCACGCACGCCCACGTCGAGGCATCCCTGCCTCAGCCACTCAGTTTCTGTGTACCCAACCTCCCGGGCATCACTGCCCGAGCCATTCAGTTTCCGTGTACCCAACCTCCCGGGCATCACTGCCCGAGCCATTCAGTTTCCGTGTACCCAACCTCCCGGGCATCACTGCCCGAGCCATTCAGTTTCCCGCCACCCAACCTCCCGGGCATCACTGCCCGAGCCATTCAGTTTCCCGCCACCCAACCTCCCGGGCATCACTGCCCGGGCGTGCTTGGCCTCCAGGCATGTTCGCCTGCACCCCCTTGACCTTAGGCCGCGCCTGCGTGTACGTCCTCCGGGAGGTCGACCCATCCATCGACCGCCTCCAGGAAGGAGCATGACATGCGACAAGAATGCACTAGGGCTCACAGTATGCAACTCTCCAGTTTTTTTCCTGAACATCGCAATCTGTTCGCGTCTTCTACGCTGCGGACGTGTCTTTCTTCTTTGCAGCATCCCAATCCTGATACCAGCGTACAACACATTCCTCACAGTAGTGCGAGCCGTGCGGACGCAGTCCCAGATACATCTTTCGGCAGCACGGGCGGCCATGCTCTTCACAAAGCTGCCCACACTCGTCCTCTTTCTTCTCCACTTGGCGCTCCTCCTCGCTGCCCTCCTCCTCTCTCGAGCAACACTGACCCATGCCGTGAGCAGGATCGAGGCAGCAGCACACACTTCTTTGTTTGAGCACACGTGGCTGCCACACACACACGTGCTTCCTGGCTCCTGCGCTAGTCAGTGCACATACTGCCAGGTTAACCCCATTCCTCCGGCGGGCCTGCTCGTCATAGTCCCGCGGTCCTGATCGGGGGGGGTGTCGGGGGCGGGAAAAGGAGAGAGGGGGAGTCCTTGGCTTTTAGACTGGGGGGGAGTTGGTGGCTCGGGCTTAACTGCTCCCTGCCAGAAGGCAAGGGGGGGGGGGGGAGGGGGGGTGGCGCCAAGGGGTCCTGGGTTTGCGGTCGTTAAAGGTCGAGGGGTCAAGGGAGCCTTTAGACGGGTGCTTCCGGTAAGGTATGGTTCTGGTTCTGGGTCTAAGGTTGAAGCCATCCCGCGTCCTTCTCCCCCCCTTCCTCCCTTACTCGGTTTAAACCCTAAACCGTAAAGTGTAAACCCTAAACCCTAAACCCTAAACCCAAAACCCTAGACCCTAAACTCTAAAACCCTTAACCCTAAACCCCGAACCATAAATCCTAAACCCTGAACCCTAAACCCTAAACCATAAACCCCGAACTCTAGACCCAAGACCCTAAACCCCAAACCCTAAACCCTAAACCCCAAACCCCAAACCCTAAACCCCGAACTCTAGACCCAAAACCCTAAACCCTAAACCCTAAACTCTAAACACTAAACCCTAAACCCTAAACCCCGAACCCTAAACTCTAAACCCTAAACCCTAAACCGAGGCCCGAAAACGGAACCATAAACTATAAAAGATAAACCCTAGTCCTCAAGCACCGTCACACTTAAAAAAGAAAAAAACACAACCCCCAAACCCTAAACATGAAACCCTCAACCCCAAACCCTAAACCCTGAAACCCAAACTGCAAATCTCAAACCTTAAACCCCAGACCTTATATCCCAAACCGAGGACTCTAACCTAATACTTGAAACCCCAAACTTTAAACTCTAAGACCCAAACTCAAAACTCTAAAGTTTACACCGAACCTCGAACCACGAGTCCGAACTAGTCAAGGCACTGAGAACTGTACTTATGTTAGACGGTAAGGCAAGATCATGTAGAGATGTAATGCAATAGATAAGCTTAAGGAACTGAAGCAAGATACTAATGATATGTGTTAAAGTAATAATACATGTATTGTTTTCCAGTATTAAACTCTAGACAACACGTCTTTCCATCTGAAATTTTCAGATAAAAGTAAGATAATTAAGACATCATTTTTCAGATAAAATTAAGATGGCCCGCAAATGGAAAAAAGCTTGTCTGAATTTTTCAGACGGATTTTTTCAGACAGATTTAAGATAATTAAGACAAGCATTTTCAGACAGTTTTAAGATAAAATTAAGATACATTAAAGCAAACTCTACACCCACATAATTGTAAGTATAAATCACATATACTTATTAGACTAAGTTAACACTCCTCTACCCTACCTGCACATAGCTGTATTACTTTCAGGTAAATAAATAAACATACGACACAATCATGATTACATGATCTTATAAGATCATTATTTATACTACACTCTTCATACTTTTATGCTGAGCACATTCTTATGTTAACAGCTGCTACTTAATGTTTAAGTATGTAGAGTTTGTGCTTCATACTTAACAGTTATACTTTTTATATATCCTGCAGGGTTTCTTCATAGATTAAGTCTTTCGGTGATCGTAGTTAGGACTTTGGTGTTACGGTCTGAGTTATATTCCTAAACCCTAAACCCTAAACCCCAAACCCTAAACCCTGAGCCCTAAACCCTAAACCCTAAAACCTGAACCCTAAACCCTAAACCCTTAGGATATATTCCTAAACCCTCAACCCCAAACCCAAAACCCTAAACCCTAAACCCTGAACCCTAAACCCTAAACCCTAAACCCTGAACTCTAGACGCAAAACCCTAGACCCTACACGCTAGTACCCTCGGGCCTACACCCTCAACCCTAGACGCCAAACCCTAGACCCGGAGCCGCTACCCTAACTGCAAAACCATGAACCCTATGAGCCCTTCACCCTCCGCACTTCACCCGAGCCCGCACCCTGACGTGCCTCCTTAGAGCTGCATGGTCTTCACGGCCAGAGCACAGGTCGTCCAGCCTGGCAAAACCGCACAGAGCAGTGTGTGCAGTTAAGTGGTCTCTGGGCATCTCTGCCACTACCTGCGCCTCGACACGAGTAAGGCCCGCCACCCATCCTCCCGGGCATCCCTGCCACGGGCGCCTCCTCTCCCCTGCAGCATCCCTGCCGCGATTCCTTCCCCTGCGGCATCTCTGCTGCTTGCTCCGGCTCTGTCTGCTCGGACCGAGCCACTTCTCGTACTCCTCGATGACGTTGCCTGCGCGCACAAGTATGTGCATCAATGCACTATGTGCTGTCAAAGCCGTTCCACGCGTGCAATCTTTCAACTGCTTGCATCCGCTCAGCGATGGCTCCTGCAAGCTAGCCTGCCTGGAAGAGTGCACACTACTCACGACTTAGCTTTCCCGAGTCTGCAGCTACCCGTATGTCCTACACACGTAGACGCTTGCAATGCTCGATCTAGGTCAGCCCCTGCTACTTCCAGTATGGCATGTGAAACTCGATGCCGTGCTTGCCCAAATCTGTACGGAGGGCAGCGTTTTCCGCGCACCAAAGATTGGGACATTTGAGAGCGTGCCAGATATCGGCGTCCTTCAGGTGGACCCATGGTGGGCCGCTGTAATACGACTTGGCCCAATAGATCTTGCGCTGGCAGGCATTACACCACCTGCCGTACCGACGTTCGAACTTCTCCATCTCGGACACAGTCGCCTGCTGCTTCTCAGCAGCCTGCTTCTTGTCGGCGTCCTCGGCCGCATCCTGGGCCGCATCCTTGATGCTCAAACGGGCCGCGCCGCCCTCTTTCTTGCTGGCAGGGGCAGCAGTAGCGGCATCCTCTGCCTGGCTCTTGCTGGCGTCGGCATCCTCCGCTTTCTTGCTGGACGTGGCCCTGACATGCCTCCGAAGCTTGCGGCGCTTCTCGGCAGGCTCGGCCGGCTCGGCTGGGTCGGCCGGCACAGCTTCCGCCACAGGCATCGTGCTCTTTGCCCGCTTCTTCTTCTTCTTCGCGGATTCTTTGCCAGCCTTCTCCTCCTCCGCAGACGCTGCGCCAGCTTTCTTTCCCTCCGCTGACTCCTTGGCAGCTTTCTTCTCCTCCGCTTTCTTTGCAGCTTTCTTCTCCGCCGCCTCCTTTGCGGCCTCCTTGGCTTGGCTCTCCATGAGTGCTTGCCGCTCTAAGCGATCCGCTTCCGTCTTCGCGGCCAGCTCCACCACGGGATCCTCCTCGTCCTCCTCATCTTCTTCTTCTTCTTCTTCTTCGTCTTCACACTCTTCTTCCGCAGCTGCATCCTGTGCACGTGCTCGCTGCACAGCAGCGCGCATTTCCATAGTTGCGTTCTCCATGTCGTGCGCGAACAAGTCTTGCAGATGTGCGGGCGTTAAGCTTTCCCTCCACGTCACGAAGGAACCCTGCGGCTTTCCCAGCCGCAGCCAGTGCTGGCGCATGTAGGAGCGCTTGTCACAGGGCTTGTGGCCGGCAGGCATGGTGAAACAAACACCGAATGCTCGAGCAAGCAAAATGCAACCTGACCGGAAAGCTGGCTGCTTGCAACGATCACATGATGAAATCGCACGCCTGCTCATATACATATATATGCATCAATTGCAGGATCGAGCTTTACTGGGCGCGCCTCGGACGGCATCATCACGGCCGGCGGATCCCGAAGATGTGGCAGCCCCGCCAGCCCTCCCTCATGCATCGTCCAGACTGGCATCACTGCCAGCGGACGCGTTGCCAGATCTCGATCCTTCAGGTGGAGAGCTGGCATCACTGCCAGCTCTCCTATACGCATCGGATCTTGGAGATCAGGCATCACTGCCCGCCCTCCTTGCCGCTTCCTTGACGTGAGGCACGACGCCGCGTATCCTCGAGGCATCACTGCCCGGTCCAAATCTCCTTGAGCTATCCGTGAGATCATGCAGGCATCCCTGCCCGCGCGCGTCCATGCGAGCAGCATCACTGCCAGCTCGCCTCCCTGATCGCCACAGTTCTGTCTTGTCATAGACCTAACCAAACCCGACCTGCAAACCGGAGTGCGTGCTTCTGTCTACACAATGCACGGGCGCAACAGAATAAATGGCAGGCATGCAAGCGACGACCCTAAAGCAAGTACTAGACACGCACAGCTGCAGGTGTTGTTGCCAGCGCACATGCACGAGGGGCACTCATGAGGCGTGAAACCTCGGATCTACTGCGTGTATTATCACACGCACAGGACGAGCATGATTTGAATTGCAAATTGACTAAAAGAAACCTACATCGGAACCGAGCTCAGTCGGCGTCGCTTGCCGTCGGACTCGGAGTCGTCATCCAAGCAGCCGCCGCCTCGGGCTCGGGGGAGTGAGGCTGGCAGCCCAGCCGGAGTCGGCAAGAGAGCATTGCTGAGAGCATTGCTGGCGCTCTGGAGCTTCTGCTTCATGTCCTTGTTCGTCGGGCGCCGACCCTTGTAGTTCTTGTAGTCCAGGAGGCCTTGCTCCACTCCTTCCACCACAGCAACGTGCTGCTGCAGGTCCCGCTGTCGCAGCTCCGGCAGCAAGACGACACATCGGGCCAGGAACTTCTTCTCCGGCGCACTGAGTCGACGCTCCGCCTCTGCACCATGAGGCCGGTCCGGCAGTGCGTCCTCCTGCCAGTCCAAAGCCTCAGTGGAAGAGTCATCCAAGGATGCAGGAGTGCTGCAAGCAGACTCCGTGCTGCTGCCCACACATATGGGCGCAGACGCCGCAGCCGCGCTCCGGCTCAAGTCGGCAAAGAGTGTCTTCAGGTCTCGCATCTTCAGCGCGTCCCCGCCGACGAACACGACGACCTCGCCCCTCTGGACATCCCGAACCGCCCGCATGACCGCAAGACTATACCTAAACAAACCACAGAGCCCGAACAGTAGGAAACTTGAACCAGCACAAAAGCATGCAAAGTGCCGGGACATGCTGCACAACAGCTCGTGCCCGCAATGCAGACCCATCATGTCATGCGTGTCTCAGGCAGCACAAGTTCGAAGTCGTTGAAAGCAAAATTGGCAACATTGCATGTACACTATTGCAGCGGCTCACTCAGCGGGAGGCTTGTAGGCATGCTCGTCTGTCTCGGAGCACGGTCCGACTATTCTCCCAAGTGCGCTCGTCTGTGACTCCCTTCATCAAGCTTTCGGTGAACGTCAGCATGTCGCGGATCACCTGTCCGTGATTAGCTCGCTCGCAGCCAATGATAAGCTTGGAACTGCCGCATGGGAACACGGCTTGTAGGTAGCTTTTCTTGGTGGCGCAGGTCTGCTTCACCTTCACGACAGTCCAGGGCGTCTGGCTGGCTGGTTTTTTCATATTTGCTGACGGCTTCTTCAGAGTACCCCCCAGAGCCGCCGCTGCTGCCGGCTTCTTGGTGCCCATCTTGCTCGCAGCCGCAGGCTTCTTTCGGGAATTCTTCCCGTGCTCCATTGCGTTCGTGTCAGGGACCATCGAGCTGCCACCCATGCTGCCACTTCTGGTTGGCAGGATGCCCCTGGCTGGCGTGCACAAGTCCACGACGTCTTGCGTTCCTGTTCTTGGCGTGTCAGAGATCCACATGACGGGTGGCCTTTTGGCGCGAAGACGAAGTCCTCCTGCTGGGCTGCCGCCTGTCCGCAAACGCTTCGGCGTTTGGGTGGACTCAGGGCGACTCACGGTCCCGGCATCCGCAGGCAACGCCTCCTCGTCTAGCGGCGCAGGAATGGTGCTGTGCTCACTCTCCGCCTGCTCAGGCATGCTCACATGGCCCGAACCCGAACTGTGGTCGATGTGTTGCGGTGTCGTAGGCTGCGTGATGACGGTGCTCAGAGTCCCCTTGCCGTCCTGGATCGACATATGCAAAAAAAAATGCCACTGTGCACTAAACATCCAGGAAGAACTTTCTATGAATGCATGCATGCTTATAACCAGAAGAACACGACTGCTACGCCCCACCTCCTTCTCGCGATCCCGCTTGCGTGGGGCGAGGGGGCTCTCCTGCGAGAGCGTTGTCGGCTTGAGTGGAGCAGCTGCAGTCTGCCCCGTGCCAGCCTCTGCGGGCCCGGACGTGGACTGGACGAGGATGTCACGGATGCGAGTCATGTCACCCCGAGCCTGCCCGCCGAGACCACGGACGACGCAGTCGAACTTCTCCACGGTTTTGAGCTGCCGAATATGGCACAACATCACCATGGCCGTCTGCGCCCAGCGGCCAGCCATGACGTCGTCGCCAACGGGCGGCTGCGCAGGCGCCCACACAGATGCCTGGTCGGTCTGGACGATCCTGGCGTGCACGGTCGAGATAGCTTCTTTCAGCTGGAGCCACTTAATCTCACCTTCGGGCGAGCTTCTCAGGAATGCAAAGAGCACCGGTGCCAGCTTGGCGAGGAGAGCGCCTCTGGGCGCTTGCGACGCTTTCAACGCATCGTAGATGTCCACTGCGAGCGGATGCTGCATCTCTTCTTTCCAGTCGCGCCACACCCGCTCCAAGTCGACAGCAAGAGCCACTGTGTCTATGTCTTTCACTGCCGCGCGGCGGGCCATGTTCGGCATGGCAGCAGCTGGCGTCTTCATCGCGCAAAAGCAGGCCGACTATATGCGAACTCGAGCAGAGAAAAATGCCTCCGTGTGCAACGCATCCTAACACAGCAGTCGCAGATCAGCCAACAAATGAGATCTCCATGTCTCGTTCCATCCGGAACTACTTCTTATCTTTCGGCATCTCTGCCGACCCAGAGCTGCTTCTTCTCTTTTTCCCTTCGGCATCTCTGCCGACCCAGAGCTGCTTCTTCAATTTTTCCTCAGCAGCTCGGCCAATCAAGAGCTGCTTCATTGATTTTTACATTCGGCAGCACGCCGAACCATGATTGCACACTGATCATGCCTGCTGAAGCTACTTTAGCTCCGCTCCAGACGCCAGACCAATTGCATTAATGCATGCACTTCCGCAAAAATACAGATTTCCTGCTAAATTGTCGCAACTTTTGTAACACTGAAGAGCGCGCCATTAAAATTATTCAACCCCAACTTCTCATTCTTGATTTATGATTCTTGATTCTTGATTCTTGATTCTTGATTTTAAATCAAGATCGGATGCTTAGGGCAAGCGCTGCACCAGGAACTTCTGCACGGCCTTGGTAGCTTTGACGGGTCGGCGACCGCAGTTCTGGTACTTGTACGGTCGCCGCCCCTTTGCCTGGCTGAAGCCCTTGTAGACTCGCTTCAGGAGCGACAGACTGGGCCGCTCCCCGCGCAAGTTCCGCGCCCGGGAACGGATGTCCTCCCACGCGCAGCCATGCACCTCCCGCAGCACCACAACCTGGCACTCAGTCGCGAAGTTGAGCGACCGTGGGTGCCTGACCTCCTGCACAAGGGGCATGGTGCCGAGACAGCTGCGAGGGCACGCATGTGGGCTGGTCCTGTCAGTACCTTCCGACGCTAGCAATGCATGGTCCTGCATGGTCAAGGCGTGAGGAACCACAGGACGCACCGCCATGCCCACCCAACTGCCTCGCGCACATGTCCCAAGATGCACAGCGCGAGAGGACCCGAGATGCACACGGCGACCTGAGCGGCTCACGCGTGAGGACCCAAAATGCACACGGCCCACCCAGGCTGCGCGCACGTTTGACCCAAAACGCACACAGCTTCGGACCCAAAACGCACACAGGACCCAAACGCACACGGCCCGGGCTGGCGCGACAAGGACCCAACCTGCACACGGTGACCGGAGCGGCTGACGCGTTCGGACCCAAAACGCACACGGCCCAGGCTGCGGCGCACGATTGGACCCAAAACGCACACGGCCTCGGACCGAAAATGCACACGGCGAGGGATGGCGCGATAGGACCCACAATGCACACGGCCATGGAGACGCTAGCACCCATGCCGCGAGCGCAGACGCAGGAGCATGCGCCTACGCGTGTCGCATGATGTCGCCTGCGACTCTGGCACTCGAGCCGCCTCTTTTTGCGCCACCGTGCTGGCTGGCTCCTGGGATGCAGTGGCTGTGAAACATGTCTCAGGCTGGACCCTCAGACCTGTGCCAAGATGTCAGGGAAGTGGACGAGGACGCGGTTGCGCTCGGAGCCGAGCCAGTCATGCGCGCGCAGGAAGTCCAGGTTCCGTGTGCTGTTGTTGATGGTGACTGCCACAGGCACCGCAAAGAGGTACTTCCGGTACGCGCACGTGCCGCCAGGAGTCGTGGCAAATTCGACACGCGTGTCGTACTTGCCCTGAAGTTTGTCCTGGTGCTCCGCAATGAACTTCAGGTCCCTCACATCGTCCAGGATGATGCCATCATGGGTGTCCCTGTCAAAGGCGCGCATCCCCTCTGGGAAGATGTCGAGACTCCCCACTTTGAGCTCCAGCGCGCGCTTGAACAAGGACTTCACCCACTCTGTTTTCCCTGTCTGGGAGGGCCCGTGGACGATGAGCAGTGGATAGCGTAGTCGATCTTCACGAAAGGTCGCCAACCATGCTTCTGCCGCGGGCACTGCCGGGAAAGCCCGGTACACCTCTGGGTTCGCTCGAAGCCTCTTCGTGGTGGCCTCGATGAGGGCGGCGTCAGCCAGGGCGGCCTCATGCTCGCGAACTGCATCCAGGTTGCGCTTCCGTGCCAGAACCCCGTCCCGCGTCAGGAAAAGGTACTGCTCGTACTTGGCCGATGTCAGCTTCCGCTGTTTCCACAGTGCTTCTGGCCATTTTCCGAGGACCTGGTAGGTTCGCCGAGCCTCAGTCCAGCATGGCTCGTAGTTGGCCGCGACGCAAGTCTCGCCGGAAGGCAAGCGCAGCGTCCCCACCTTGTCAGCCCACACGTAGAACATGCCGCGGTTGATGGACTGCTGCAGCTTCTTGCGGCAGACGCCCTCGCCGAGGTAGTCGTTGGGGCTGGCGTTGGGTCGCACACCCTCAAAGATGAAGCGGGCGGAGCCGCAGTCCACTGCAGAAGTGAATTGGACCATGAGGTGCAGGTGGCAGTCGCCGCCAGAGGTCTGCTCCATCGTCGCCGCCCAGTGCTTGACAGTCCACGCCGTCACCGAGGCGGCCACAAAGACGCAGAACCGCTGCCATGCACCAGGCGCCTCCCCGGCCGGCCAGCTTTGATATGTCAGGAGCACCGCCTCGGAGCGAATGCGCAAGCCTTCGCGCCCGTTAGTGACGGCACTGCTTGCGGACACTGGCCCTGCCTGCGCATGGGCAGGTCGGCCTGGCGGCTTTGTGCCCTGGCTCGCCTGGACCCACGCATCCCTTGCAGCATTCAGGCGCTGCGCGTCTGCGGCTGCGCCGCCCTTGTCGGGATGCACCTTGATGGACACTCGCCGGAAGACCCGCGTCACCTCGACATCTGTCGACTCCCGCGTGAGGGTCACCTGCAGCCCGTAGGCACCGGCCAGAGCCAGCAACAAGGTCACCAGCGCACGCTTAGCGCGTTGCTTCAGGTTGGCAGGCATGGCGCAAGTGGCTAGAGGAGGCCGTCGGCTTCGAAAAATGCTTCCGGAAGGCACCCCCGGGCCGAAAGTTTCGACCCACGGCACATGTTGGATGGCACGCAAACAGTGAAGGCTCCCGCGGAGTAGCGGAGTGCCGAAAAGTCGCATTTTCCCTGCGCCTGCTAGCGGAGAAATTAATACCCCGTTTTAAAAATATAGTACTATAGAAGCTCCGGAGGAGGCCCCCAGCCCCATTGTGTCAGGAGTCTATGGGGAAGAGGGCGGGGTAAGGGCGTCAGAACCCCAAGATGTCGGTGGGTCGAACTATCGGCCCGGCGCAGCATGCGTTTTGGCGGCGAGAGTCCGTGGCATGCACAGTGCGGGTGAAACGCCTGCTAGGATCTGGCCATGCCGCCCTTCTTCGACACGACCTCCTTGCAGGTCTTTTTGAAGCCCGCGGCTATGTGCGAGGCCACCCTTTGGGCACGCTGTGAGGCCAAAACCGCGCGGACTCGCGCCTTGAAGGCCAGCATGCCGATGGGCGGGCGCTTGCGGCGGAGGTCTTCCCGATCCAGGTGGCGGAGGCGCCTTCGCAGCCACGCCCAGAACTTCTCCACAGGGTTCAGGTCCGGCGATGATGCCGGGACCGGCCAGAGCGTGATGTTTTTGGCCGCCATGGCATGCCTGCTGGCGGCCGTGTGCAGGAAGGCCTCATTGTCGCACAAGACCTTCCAGGGGCCGTGTCGCTGCACTGGCTGCAGCGCTGTTATGGCGGCCTGGAGCTTCCCGGTCTGGACCACGCGGCACCACTCCTCTGCAGTGAACTTGCGTGCTTTGTGGAAGGCGACTGTGCGGAAGCCCCCTTCTGACAGCCCACCCCAGAGTGGCACGGCTCGAGCACGTGGCACCTGTGACGGGTACGGGTTCTGTCCAGCCAGCCGCTCCATTCCAGCCTCCCCGCGCTGCCGCCACATGTAGCCATCCCCGTGGGCGCAATAATTGCGGCGGTCCGTGGGATCCCGTGGCGGTAGCGACAGCAGGACCCCATCCATGGAGAAGGAAAGCTTCTCTCGCAGGCGGGCCCGACTGAGCTGCACCACGCTCCGTGCAAAGCGGAGGCGCTCCTGCCGGCGTTCTGCACTGTACTTGCGCTTCTGCGCTTTCGGAAGCCAGAAGTATCCCTGGCGACGCAGTGCCTTGCGGATGGCCGACTCATCCAGCTGCACACCCCGCTTCGCGAGCAGTTCTCGCTGCAAGGTGCCAGAGGTGCAGACACAGTGCATGCGCAGGGCGAGCAAGCGCTGCACCAGGAACTTCTGCACGGCCTTGGTAGCTTTGACGGGTCGGCGACCGCAGTTCTGGTACTTGTACGGTCGCCGCCCCTTTGCCTGGCTGAAGCCCTTGTAGACTCGCTTCAGGAGCGACAGACTGGGCCGCTCCCCGCGCAAGTTCCGCACCCGGGAACGGATGTCCTCCCACGCGCAGCCATGCACCTCCCGCAGCACCACAACCTGGCGCTCAGTCGCGAAGTTGAGCGACCGTGGGTGCCTGACCTCCTGCACAAGGGGCATGGTGCCGAGACAGCTGCGAGGGCACGCATGTGGGCTGGTCCTGTCAGTACCTTCCGACGCTAGCAATGCATGGTCCTGCATGGTCAAGGCGTGAGGAACCACAGGACGCACCGCCATGCCCACCCAACTGCCTCGCGCACATGTCCCAAGATGCACAGCGCGAGAGGACCCGAGATGCACACGGCGACCTGAGCGGCTCACGCGTGAGGACCCAAAATGCACACGGCCCACCCAGGCTGCGCGCACGTTTGACCCAAAACGCACACAGCTTCGGACCCAAAACGCACACAGGACCCAAACGCACACGGCCCGGGCTGGCGCGACAAGGACCCAACCTGCACACGGTGACCGGAGCGGCTGACGCGTTCGGACCCAAAACGCACACGGCCCAGGCTGCGGCGCACGATTGGACCCAAAACGCACACGGCCTCGGACCGAAAATGCACACGGCCAGGGATGGCGCGATAGGACCCACAATGCACACGGCCATGGAGACGCTAGCACCCATGCCGCGAGCGCAGACGCAGGAGCATGCGCCTACGCGTGTCGCATGATGTCGCCTGCGACTCTGGCACTCGAGCCGCCTCTTTTTGCGCCACCGTGCTGGCTGGCTCCTGGGATGCAGTGGCTGTGAAACATGTCTCAGGCTGGACCCTCAGACCTGTGCCAAGATGTCAGGGAAGTGGACGAGGACGCGGTTGCGCTCGGAGCCGAGCCAGTCATGCGCGCGCAGGAAGTCCAGGTTCCGTGTGCTGTTGTTGATGGTGACTGCCACAGGCACCGCAAAGAGGTACTTCCGGTACGCGCACGTGCCGCCAGGAGTCGTGGCAAATTCGACACGCGTGTCGTACTTGCCCTGAAGTTTGTCCTGGTGCTCCGCAATGAACTTCAGGTCCCTCACATCGTCCAGGATGATGCCATCATGGGTGTCCCTGTCAAAGGCGCGCATCCCCTCTGGGAAGATGTCGAGACTCCCCACTTTGAGCTCCAGCGCGCGCTTGAACAAGGACTTCACCCACTCTGTTTTCCCTGTCTGGGAGGGCCCGTGGACGATGAGCAGTGGATAGCGTAGTCGATCTTCACGAAAGGTCGCCAACCATGCTTCTGCCGCGGGCACTGCCGGGAAACTCATGCTCGCGAACTGCATCCAGGTTGCGCTTCCGTGCCAGAACCCCGTCCCGCGTCAGGAAAAGGTACTGCTCGTACTTGGCCGATGTCAGCTTCCGCTGTTTCCACAGTGCTTCTGGCCATTTTCCGAGGACCTGGTAGGTTCGCCGAGCCTCAGTCCAGCATGGCTCGTAGTTGGCCGCGACGCAAGTCTCGCCGGAAGGCAAGCGCAGCGTCCCCACCTTGTCAGCCCACACGTAGAACATGCCGCGGTTGATGGACTGCTGCAGCTTCTTGCGGCAGACGCCCTCGCCGAGGTAGTCGTTGGGGCTGGCGTTGGGTCGCACACCCTCAAAGATGAAGCGGGCGGAGCCGCAGTCCACTGCAGAAGTGAATTGGACCATGAGGTGCAGGTGGCAGTCGCCGCCAGAGGTCTGCTCCATCGTCGCCGCCCAGTGCTTGACAGTCCACGCCGTCACCGAGGCGGCCACAAAGACGCAGAACCGCTGCCATGCACCAGGCGCCTCCCCGGCCGGCCAGCTTTGATATGTCAGGAGCACCGCCTCGGAGCGAATGCGCAAGCCTTCGCGCCCGTTAGTGACGGCACTGCTTGCGGACACTGGCCCTGCCTGCGCATGGGCAGGTCGGCCTGGCGGCTTTGTGCCCTGGCTCGCCTGGACCCACGCATCCCTTGCAGCATTCAGGCGCTGCGCGTCTGCGGCTGCGCCGCCCTTGTCGGGATGCACCTTGATGGACACTCGCCGGAAGACCCGCGTCACCTCGACATCTGTCGACTCCCGCGTGAGGGTCACCTGCAGCCCGTAGGCACCGGCCAGAGCCAGCAACAAGGTCACCAGCGCACGCTTAGCGCGTTGCTTCAGGTTGGCAGGCATGGCGCAAGTGGCTAGAGGAGGCCGTCGGCTTCGAAAAATGCTTCCGGAAGGCACCCCCGGGCCGAAAGTTTCGACCCACGGCACATGTTGGATGGCACGCAAACAGTGAAGGCTCCCGCGGAGTAGCGGAGTGCCGAAAAGTCGCATTTTCCCTGCGCCTGCTAGCGGAGAAATTAATACCCCGTTTTAAAAATATAGTACTATAGAAGCTCCGGAGGAGGCCCCCAGCCCCATTGTGTCAGGAGTCTATGGGGAAGAGGGCGGGGTAAGGGCGTCAGAACCCCAAGATGTCGGTGGGTCGAACTATCGGCCCGGCGCAGCATGCGTTTTGGCGGCGAGAGTCCGTGGCATGCACAGTGCGGGTGAAACGCCTGCTAGGATCTGGCCATGCCGCCCTTCTTCGACACGACCTCCTTGCAGGTCTTTTTGAAGCCCGCGGCTATGTGCGAGGCCACCCTTTGGGCACGCTGTGAGGCCAAAACCGCGCGGACTCGCGCCTTGAAGGCCAGCATGCCGATGGGCGGGCGCTTGCGGCGGAGGTCTTCCCGATCCAGGTGGCGGAGGCGCCTTCGCAGCCACGCCCAGAACTTCTCCACAGGGTTCAGGTCCGGCGATGATGCCGGGACCGGCCAGAGCGTGATGTTTTTGGCCGCCATGGCATGCCTGCTGGCGGCCGTGTGCAGGAAGGCCTCATTGTCGCACAAGACCTTCCAGGGGCCGTGTCGCTGCACTGGCTGCAGCGCTGTTATGGCGGCCTGGAGCTTCCCGGTCTGGACCACGCGGCACCACTCCTCTGCAGTGAACTTGCGTGCTTTGTGGAAGGCGACTGTGCGGAAGCCCCCTTCTGACAGCCCACCCCAGAGTGGCACGGCTCGAGCACGTGGCACCTGTGACAGGTACGGGTTCTGTCCAGCCAGCCGCTCCATTCCAGCCTCCCCGCGCTGCCGCCACATGTAGCCATCCCCGTGGGCGCAATAATTGCGGCGGTCCGTGGGATCCCGTGGCGGTAGCGACAGCAGGACCCCATCCATGGAGAAGGAAAGCTTCTCTCGCAGGCGGGCCCGACTGAGCTGCACCACGCTCCGTGCAAAGCGGAGGCGCTCCTGCCGGCGTTCTGCACTGTACTTGCGCTTCCAGAAGTATCCCTGGCGACGCAGTGCCTTGCGGATGGCCGACTCATCCAGCTGCACACCCCGCTTCGCGAGCAGTTCTCGCTGCAAGGTGCCAGAGGTGCAGACACAGTGCATGCGCAGGGCGAGCAAGCGCTGCACCAGGAACTTCTGCACGGCCTTGGTAGCTTTGACGGGTCGGCGACCGCAGTTCTGGTACTTGTACGGTCGCCGCCCCTTTGCCTGGCTGAAGCCCTTGTAGACTCGCTTCAGGAGCGACAGACTGGGCCGCTCCCCGCGCAAGTTCCGCACCCGGGAACGGATGTCCTCCCACGCGCAGCCATGCACCTCCCGCAGCACCACAACCTGGCGCTCAGTCGCGAAGTTGAGCGACCGTGGGTGCCTGACCTCCTGCACAAGGGGCATGGTGCCGAGACAGCTGCGAGGGCACGCATGTGGGCTGGTCCTGTCAGTACCTTCCGACGCTAGCAATGCATGGTCCTGCATGGTCAAGGCGTGAGGAACCACAGGACGCACCGCCATGCCCACCCAACTGCCTCGCGCACATGTCCCAAGATGCACAGCGCGAGAGGACCCGAGATGCACACGGCGACCTGAGCGGCTCACGCGTGAGGACCCAAAATGCACACGGCCCACCCAGGCTGCGCGCACGTTTGACCCAAAACGCACACAGCTTCGGACCCAAAACGCACACAGGACCCAAACGCACACGGCCCGGGCTGGCGCGACAAGGACCCAACCTGCACACGGTGACCGGAGCGGCTGACGCGTTCGGACCCAAAACGCACACGGCCCAGGCTGCGGCGCACGATTGGACCCAAAACGCACACGGCCTCGGACCGAAAATGCACACGGCCAGGGATGGCGCGATAGGACCCACAATGCACA